GGCCCCAATCTAGCAAAATTCATTCTTTTTTTAAAATATGTTCTTATTGATTTCAGAGAGAGGAAGGGAGAGGGAGAAAAAAACATCAGTGATGAGTCATTGATCGGCTGCCTCCTGAACGCCCCCGACTGGGAATCGAGCCCACAACCCGGGCCTGTGCCCTGACCAGGAATCGAACCACAGCCTCCTAGATCCTGTTGATGCTCAACCGCTGAGCCACGCTGGCCGGGCACAAAATTCATTCTTTATTGGTGCCAAATATTTAATTTCCTGTAGGTTTCCAGGCCTGTCCCCTTGCTTTCCAACTCAGCTTTATCTCTTACATCCTGTAGATGTGTACAGTGGTCCCTTGGTTTTCTAATGTGATCCGTTCCAGAGACCATCTGATCTCTGACACGTTCCAAAACCGAGGGATCCACAGCCGACAGCTGGGCCTCAGGACCTTGCCCTCAGCGGGAGCCTTGGGGCATGTTCGCCTCCGAGGCGAGTTCGAAAGTGGAAGCGTTGACTTTGGGTTTATGGCGTTCGTAACCCGAAATGTTCGTCCATGGAGACGTTCAAAAACTGAGGCACCACTGTACTCTATTTTAATCGTCTTTGGGAAAAGAGTTTCGCGGCCTTTCTTGGCGGCACGTTTTTCCTTTTAGTTTAATAACCCTGACAGTAAATTTTTTTATTTGTATAGCTCAGATCTTCGCGCTATAAACTTATGTCTCCTTCCCAGTAGGATATGTCTGGGAGCATAGTGCTTGGTGTAATAATTAGTAAGCTCCCAGCGAGTATTTGAGTGAGTAATAATTTTATGAGCCAGTTTTACTTGGTTATTCTCTGTCTTGTCTTTGTCATAATAATTGCACCTTAGTTTTTTTCCTCTCCTAGCATCTATTTTTAAAAAGTTGGGAAGGGGGTGTGAAAAAGAATGAGATGATGTCAGCCCTGCTTCCCTCATAGGCACAGGTGAGATAACTCCTGCGGAAGTGATTTGTAAACTCTTAAAACAGTGTCTCGCTTGTAGGTTGTGGTGAACAGTTACAATTTGGATCACCTGCCTCAAGTGCCCTCACCTGACCCTGTATGTGGTGGAGATGCGGGTGGGTCTGCGTATTAGAATGGGGGGGGGGGCGCTGTTGGAGAGCACACAGGAACTCCTTATGCACGCACACACCCCTTTTTTTAATCCTCACCTAGGGCATGTTCCTCATTAATTCTAGGGAGGGGCGGGGGCATTGATTGGCTGCCTCCACGCATGCTTCCTGACCAGGAATCGAACCCTTAACCCTTTGGTACATGGGACGGTGCTCCAACCACTGAGCCACACTGGCCAGGGCTGCACCCCTTTTATATAAGAATGCTGAGGTGAGTGTGTGTTTTGAAAGGCTCCGTGGTGACTGGTGTATGTCCTTGTGTGTCCATAGCACCCCGCCCCTCACAGAAGCAGCAGCCACTGATGCTGTCGACAGCGCACACGCTTTCGCTGGAGTGGAGGCAGCCCTTGGCCCGCGTGTGGTCGGTGTTGCTGCCACGTACAGGACGCATTGGGAGACCTTCGTGCAGCTCAGTGTTACTTTGCCTCTTTATCAGTGATGATATATTCAGGGCGCAGTCCACGTAGAACCCAGGCAGTGCTGCAGTCTGTCTGCTATTCGCAAACCTGGTCCATTGATCCATGTCCCTTCTGTTGGTGGCTCCCAGAGAAGCGCCTTCCTGCACTCGTGCCAGCCCTTGGTACGCCCGGACTGCAGCATGCTGCAGGGCTCATGCCGGTGCCAGGCTGCTCTCTGTACAGTCGGCAGCTTCCGCTTTTGTGTTGTCTGGAGCCCCCAGTGACATGCGGGAGAAACCTTGGGAGAGGACCCTGGGAAGGGAGAAGGCCCAGCTGGCCCAGCTGTCTCGCCCTGGCCACCATCAGCCAAGGCTGCCGAGGAGTGACTGTGAGAGCAGCTGGCCCAGCCGAGCGCAGCCCTGGCTGTAGAATCGTGAACAGGTGAAGAGGCTGTTGGTCTCAGCCCGAGTCTGGGGCGGTTTGTTACACATCAGTGGAGAAACTGACACTGTGATTTTCTGCTGGGAGTTGTGTTTTTATATTTATTGATTTTTGTATTTTGAGACTTAAGCTGAAGGAGTTGTTACTGTATGTCATTTTCTTAGATTTCAGATTAGTTTATTAGGTATAATTATTAGGATGCATTTTTCTCCTTAGCAGATTATATTTGTTTTAAGAGCATTACTAATGACGATATTTATTGAGGACTTATTACATACCAGATATTCTACATGTATTTTCATTTAATCCTCACAACCACCTATAAGGTAGATGCCATCATTACCTCCATTTTCCAAGTGAGGAAACAGTCTCAAAACTGCCTGCAGTCACCTAGCTAACTAATCATCACCGACCTGTTCTGCTTAGTAAAAAGTGGTAAATGTCTAGTCTTCCTTTTTTATACTTCTTTATTGAGGTATAATTTACATATAGTGAAGCTTGAGTTTTCACAAGTTCCTTTTTCCCTGTTAATGTGACAGGGTCCCTCTAGGTGGCATTTGGGTGTATTGTGCTGACGTCTCTTTCAGAATCATCCATGGAGAAGGATTTCGGTCGGCGTCTGTGGACTCGGTGAACTGTGTGGATCATGATTTGAGAAAAGCTTTATTGACTTGGGAATGCAGTCCTAGAGTTTAATAACCATTTGGTGAGCACGTGATAGGTGCCAGGTGCTGTGCCTTATTTTATGGTTCCATTTAGTCGTCATCAAGTCAGAATTACTGGGGTGAGACACAGGCAGTGGTTTTGGGAATGTTCTAGGTGATACCAGAGTGCAGCTGAATTTGAGAACCAGCACTGGGGAGCTTGGTCAAAATGGAAAATCCTGCACCCTGTACTTACCTGACATTTCCTTGAAGGCTCCTCAAACCAGAGTCTGCACACTTTTCATGTGTAATAGTCTGAGTACTGTGGGCCACATGGGTCAGATACGTCTTTGTGGGAGCGTTTAACTTGGGTTAGTAGACTGGAGCTTTAAGTGACTGAGATCATTTCTGTCAAGCCCACTCACTCACGTTCATGGTCAAGCATGGAACCCAGTAGCTGCAGCACCTAGTGAGACCTGTCTGTAGTGCAGAGAGCAGAGGAGGAAGGGAAGTCAGTAGTATATCCACCTTGGACTTTGAAGCTATTTAACTATTTCAGAGGTGCTGTTAGCAAAGCACAATGAATGGGGTAAACCAATGGGGAAACTGTGTTCATAGCTATTTCAGGTGGCCGGAGGGTTTAGAGGAGACTGGGAGGGAATGGAGATCTCTAGGACATGGGGCTAGAGCAGCTTTTGTGAGAAGATGGGTGTGCTGACCTCTTCCTTTGACACTTGGGATTGTGGGAAGAGGACCAGGCCGAGGGAGCTGCACTACACACCCAGGGACGCTGACATTGCCTGATCTGCAAGGAGACCGGACAAGGGTGCTAGGGAGGTAGAGGTGGTCACAGCAGGTGACCTCTGAGGTTGGGCACCGTTCCTTAATCATGGCTGCATCCTAGTTTCTGGCCCAGATGAGCTGTTCTTTCACTGCTTATGGTCTGAGCTGCTGGGAGGAACTGGAGGATTTGGGATCACCCTGGAGGCTGGAGAGGTTAGGCTGATAGCTAAATTTGAACGTTTGCTTGAGGGCAGTGGATCTTAAACTTTAGTGTGCAGCAGAATGGGTGGAGGGTGGTTATTACTCCCCTCCTGTAGGTTTGGGTGAGACTCAAGAATCTGTAATAAGTTACCCTGTGACTCTGCTGGGGCACTTTACTGCTGTTGGAGGAAAGGAAGCACAGAGAGGATGCCTGAGGAGACAGGCCAGGTGAGGGTGTCAGCACGCACCATAGCTCGAGCATGGTCGCCAACCCACATGGTTGGTTGTAGGACTGGCCTGCAGCTGAGCCCAGCCGGCTTGCCGAAGCAAGTGGCTAGATTAAACCACAGGATTTACTGGGGTCCAGAGAGAGGAAATGGGAGGGTTCTGACGAAGGGCTGCCGTCAGGATGCTGCCCTGCTTACTGATTGGTGCATGTCCCAGTGCAGATATCAGAGGTGGCATCACCTGGGTGGTCACCACGTGATGGTGTGCTCCTGAGGTGGCACTGAGACAGTTAGTGGTGGCAAGACCAGTGAGCTTTGAAGCTGAACTGTTCAGACAGCTTGCCCGTCGGACGTGAGAATTCTCTAAGGTCACGTGAAGAATGTGAGGTGAACATGAAACAGCCCTTGGAATGCGCTGTGTCCCAGATACATCACATGGTCCTCCTGGACCCTCCTGCCCAGTGACCTCATGGACTAGTTGCTAGGTTGAAACCTGCTCCTCCCCATTATATCGCAGTGAGCAGGGAACGTGTGGGCTGTTCCCAGGAGTGTGGGTTTGAGGGGGAGGGACAGTAATGTACAAGTCATTTTTCTTTTTTTTAAGAGCATAAGCATGAAAACGAGTTCAGAATTCATCTGAAAACTATTAAGTGTTTTATATAAACAGTACCTATTTTGCAATGGTCATGAAGTAAGATTTAGTCAACAACCTTGACAGTCTGTAGAGAAAAACTGACTGTGCCTTATGGTCATTGTGAAATATGTGTAACATGCACTTTTTACCTGGGAAAAGTTTAGGTGGAGCTTTTTACAAATAGTTTTTATGATTTTTTTAAATCGAGGTGTTTTAGTTTGGAGGAAGAATATTGGGAAGTTAATGTGGGCTGCTGGATGTATTCTTTTCAAACCTTGCATAGTAATGTGTCCTGTCGTCAGGTGAGTGGCCTCTCTGTTGATGCGCACAGCCGGGGTGTGCTGCCGTCCGTTTACTTCAGCTCCTCAGTGTTGCTCTCACAACATTGCTCCAGGAGCTGGTCAGGAGTTGAGATTCTCCCGTGTCACAAACCTGCGGGCCTCCAAGAGCATGATCGGAGCTGAAACATCTTCAGGAAATAACTGGTGTCCAGAATGAGAATTGGACAAGGACAAGGGCCCACGTCGATGTAGGAGGTTATCATGAGGGGGGAAGGTAACGAGATCAAGTCAAAAATATAATTTGCTGTAGATTAACCAGGGCTTTTGTTGCTGCAGGCAGACTGCATTGGAAAACTTGGCAGAGGAGCCGAGTTACTGCTTCAGAGGACAGTGACGTCCCTTAAAAACAGAAATTACTAGGACTAGGGCTGAGAGCACTGAGCAGTGGGATTCATTTACTAAGATTAATTATCATTTAGTGCTGACTTGTAAAGATTTCAACACCAGTTGCCTAATAATTCTATGTTTAATGGAAACAGCAGAAAACTGCTGTCATGTCAGCAAATGTAGCCTTCCTGTCCCTGCTTAATTTAAATAATTAATGATCTCCCTGTAGGGGAGAGTCCAGTGGAAGAGACCCAAGGGAAACCTTGCTTTTCCTCAGTCCCACTTCTGCTAATGAATTAGCGCTTTCTCCCAGGACCGTCTGATTGAGAAATCCAGCTGCTCCCTGAGGCCCGAGGTTTTGCTTCTGGTGTCCCAGTTGCTGGGGAGGAGACTTTGCTGTACCCTCCATTGTGATTCGGTTAGATTACATTGTCTCCTTTTGCCAGAATGATTGCCTATGTTTTCAAGTTAAATGTGAAGTTAACCCGTCAAATAACTTCTGCCCTTCATGATACAAATGAACAATAATTGTATTTATGAAATGTGGTCCACTTGTTAGCTATAACCATTTATCTCATGCTGGTTTTTTAATGTGTACAACTTTCTCTCCAATTTGGCTGTGGCTTCTTAATTTTTGTGGGCTAACTCCTGGGGCTGTTCTCCCCTCTCTTACCCCTGCAGGTAAGGCTGTTGAGACTCACCTGGGGCCAGTGCAGAGAACCGTCTAGTCCGGTGTTTCCTACTGATTTCCCTCCTCTTTGGGGGAGTTTACCACATACATCATACTTAACCCCTTCTTTTACTAGTGTCAGTCCAGTTCTGCTTCCAAAAAAGTTATAAAATCTTTTTAATCCCTTTTTACCTTTGTAACTCTTGCCCATTTATCTTTAGGAAAAAAATGTTCCTCCTTCTTTTCATTTGTAAGCACCCTCCCAGGGACAAAAACAAAAAACTCTTATCCTATCTCAGGGAATTGAAAGCCCCCCAGAGTGCCTGGAAATACTTCAGAAGCCTAAAGAAAGTTCTTTTCTTCCTAATTAAACATTTTGCTTCAAGCAATTGCATTCGATGTAAATAAGAATTTTCTTAGTCTTTACAATTCTTTCAGTTTTGCTAACATAAAAAAGGATTTTTTTATTGCTGTTTTCATCACATAAAAGTTTTCTGTATTTTGAGTTCAATGCCTCTATGAGCTGGCTTATATAACATGTTTCTTTTGAGCAGGATTCTTTTGAAATGCACACAGTTTCTGGACAACTGCTGTATCCGGTGTCACAGGCAGGCCCATGCTTGGCCACCAATCAGTACTAAACAGTTGTTTCTTAATTTCAATTGAACTGTTTCCTAGTCACATTTATAAAATTGAGATCTTATGTGGTATATGAATGTATGAGTGCCACCTTTGGGGTTTGAGTTTGAATTTCATTCATTTGTTCAGTCTGCAGGGCCTCCAAAGACTAATTAATGAAGGTAATTTCAGATAACTTCAAGCACTAAAAGAAATAAAACAGGATGGTGTGATCCAGTGACGTTAGGGAGTAGGTGCCACCTTAGATGGGGTGGTGTTAGCAGTGGCTTCTCTGAAGAAGGGACATTTGAGCACAGACCAGAATAATGACAAAAGTGACTCATACCTTCAGAGATCTGGGGACGGTTAGAACAAAGTCACTAAAGCAGTAGGAACTTGGCTGGGACAGAAGGCTGTGACGGGAGCCTGGGAGGAGCCTGTGGGGAAGTGGGAGCAGATAAGGTTAGGGAGGTGGGTGCGAGGGGCCTGCTATTGCAGGCCACAGTTCCGAGTTGGGAATTCATCCTAAATCACAGTGAGGATTTTAAGCAGGGAAGTAATGTGTGATTTACCAAAGCTCTTAGAGGCTGCTTGGTGGAGAGTGATCTCAGTTGTCAGTAATTCTGGAGACACCGTGAACTTGGTGTTAGCTGCTCTGAGGAGTAAATAATCCTGCCAACTGGGGCATCTTCTAATTGTCTCCCAGCAGCGCCCATTTTTAAGCCAGCTTATTAACTGATACATTTCTAAGTATAAAGGGACTGCCTTTAGTGTGAAAGCCTTGTGCCCTCTGTGAACTGCGCGTCTCTGTGGTTTTGGGGACACATGTGGGCCGGAAACCCAGGACTCTAGGACTCCAACCACTCTCCCCGGCTCTGAGATGGGAGGCATGTCTGAGGGTGGACTAGAGAGGGAAGGACTTGGGGTGGAATTAGGGAAGAACCGCTTCCTAGTGACAAAATAGTCTGGACCGTGTTCTTGCCCTATTTCTTCCCAAGGAGCCAGGCTCCGATGTCCTGCAATAGACATTTTACGTGACACAGCAGGGTGAGAACGTAAGGCTCGGTCCTTAGTAGCACACAGGCTCCATTCTCACAGTGATTTTATGAGTCCGGGACATTTCCTAGCTGTCTCTGTGCAGGACACTGCGAGGCCTTTGACACGGGGTTTCTGCCTTCACTGAGTTTTTAAAATAAAGACTTTGTTATTTTTTCAGATTACTCTCTCTAAACAGCCATATGTGAAAACACCCAAAGAAACTAATCATGTTTTGATAATTTCCATATTAATAGCCAGATTTCAAGGGCTCCAGAGGAATTGGCTTAGTTTAGACCTTATTTAAGAGTTGTTTACCTTTAACAGAACGTGCGATGTGCTTGCGGTTCAGTATATTTGTTAATGTCACAAAAGCATTTGATTCATAATAGCTTATTTGCTTAAATTCCCGCCATATTTTGACAGGAATTTTGAAATTGCCTAAATGCTAATTAAAGGAGTGTTTTCTGATCCCAATACCCTCAGTTTCTTCATGTGTTACAGTGGGGATTTTTTTTGTAAAATAATAGAATTATAACTTTTCACCTTGATAATGCCGATGCATTCTGAGCTCTTGCTTTCTTTTACAGGGAAATCCTCGTTGACGATTCAGTTTGTTGAAGGCCAATTTGTTGACTCCTACGACCCAACTATAGAGAACAGTGAGTATTGTTTTCAAGGATTTATAAACTGAGGAGCCTGCCTCCTGCACACAAGCAGCCATTGTGTGTGTGGAGGCTCTGATTGCAGGGTATTTGGTTAGACCTATGGATCACTAACGGGTCCAGAACAGCTTCCAAAACTGTGACCCACTTTCGTGAGTGGTTTTTTTATGCTGCATCCAGATCCTGCCGTTAGAAATTGTTCAACTCTGTAGGAATCAGAGTCCTGTGTTGGAACCCGTTTTCCAGACCCTGCTTTAGGAAGACAGAAAGAGAGAGTTCTTTTTTTCTTTCTCCTTCCTCTCAACAGTAGCCCTTTTTAGGGATTCTAAGCTGGAGCAGAAAAGATGCAAACACTCCTGGTACCTTGTACCTTCCTCTTGTGGAATCACCAGCCACCTGACCCTTCAGTCATGAGGACTAAGGAGGGAAGGCAAGGAAAAGTGAGCTGTTCTGGGGTCGGACTGAGCAGCTGCAGCCTTAGAACAAGGCCTGTTGGCCTATTGGGCCGTGTGCAGCAAAAGCACCAAAGACCAGACCGGCCACGACCTTTACCTTGTCCAGTTTCAGTACAGGTTTCAGAATCTCCCTGAAGGATTCTAGGACCCTGAGCCATGTCTCGATTCTGGGGATCATGGGGAGAATCTGAGGCACTTCAATCCAGGGAAGTTGCTTATTAGAAGCTGGTCTTGTTTCACGCCATCAAACCCCAACTCACTTGGAACTAGTCTTCTCAGACTGTTGACACCAGGGCTTAGCCGGGATTTGTCACCAGGAACATCCAAATTTAAACACAGGATTCATCAAAACCTGATCAGCACATTAGACAGGAAGCCTGCCTAACAGCCAGGCTCACAAGCTTGAACAGCTAGATTCATAGGCTTCACCTGCCCCAAGCTTGTAAGAAAGACTTAAAAAGTTTCAACATGGCTGTTGACAAATTTCGGCCCACAGGCCAAATCAGCCTATGAGCTAAGGATGGTTTTTACATTTTTAATATTTGAAAAGAGTCAAAAGAAGAAGAGTGTTTGTGACATGTGAAAGTTATATGAAATTCAAATTTCAGCCTCCATAAATAAAGTTTTATTGGAACACAGCCATACTTGTTCATGGACATACTGGCTGCGGCTGCCTCTACAACAGCAGAGTTGATGGACAGTTGCAGCAGAGACCATATGGCCCATAGAGCCTAAAATATTTACTGTCTGGCCCTTTCCAGGAAAAGTTTGCTGACCTCTGGCTTAAAATATCCAGCTGTCCTTTGTGCCCCGTATGCTGGTAGCAGGAAAGGAAACATGTTGGTTGCAAAACTAAGTGGGAAGACACGTGTTTGAAAGTAACCTCCGCCTCATCTGGAAGGAGGAGCACTGATGGCATCCTGTTGATTTCCTTAGCTTTCCCGGGCAGTGTGCATGTGAGGGCAGATCTACTTGAGTGCTAAGCGAACAAGTTCAAGTATCGTTGGAATAGGAACAAGGAAACCGTGCTCTTGGCCTCGGTGTTCGCTGTGCACAGCAATTTCGAATGTGGTGTCCTCAAGGAGATCAGGCTCGTTGGGGATTTTATTGATAGAACAGTAGAAGATAGTTCTCGTGGTAAGCTCTGCTGGTAAAAGTGGTCTTTATAATTGTGCATCTTTGTGCCATTTAAAACTGAGTGGGAAGGAAGTCATGGTGTTACATATAAGTGCATTTTCTTTATATGTAAGTAATGGATCAGACAAAAGTCCAACCACCTCACCTTGATACTGTCTCAGAAACAGAATGAAATCACCCAGCTTTGAAGGCTGTTGACATCAGCTTTAGTAGTGCTTTTTAATGTTTTCCTATCTAATACTTAGTGTTTAATAACACTTTTTTTCAGTCTCAGAAGTGAATTCATTTAAAGTCTTCAGGCACGAGCAGAAATGAGTATCAAAGTATACGAATCCCTTAAAAGTTCATGAGCGCATCCAGACATCCGATTCTGTTTCTCGTGCTTCTGACAGCAACACAGGGCAGAAGCCCTTCCTCCACCCTTCCCACTGTTTAGTAGAAAAACATTGCTCGGTGATGATAGGGAATCAGAGGAACGGAATGGTCGTCATAAAGCTGTTGCTAGAGACATAAATGGATGGATGGTTTTATGGATCCAGAAAACACAGTACTCTAAGTCTGGAAATGATCCAGTGATTACTTTATACTTAACTCTAATGTAGAACAGGGCATTTGTAGCAAACATTCAGTGGTGACACATTTATATGCAGTATCACTGCAGAAGCAAAAACTCTGGGACTGTGTCATTATCTTTTAAAACGTATAGGAGAAAACATCAATAAAAACACATATTTTTGTGTTTGGGACACATTTGGACCATAATACTGCCTGTGCAAGTGTGCTTTCTTATGTACTGTCATGTGACCTAACTCACACTGGAGTGGCACAGTGACGTGGGTGGTAGCTTATCATTTGAAGAGGAATCGCAGCGGCTCGCAGCTCTGCCATCTCAGGGTAGGACTGGTGATGAATTCATGAAGCTGCTTGGCAGCTTGGGAAGTGGGAATCCAGTTTCACCAGGCATTGCATGGTGGGCGAAGAGTTGGCCGGACGCATTAGTAACTCGGATCTCATTTCATGGACGCCAAATCTAAGAAGCCTTCCATCTGAACCTTGCTTATTAGATTTTACTAAGTAGCGATTAGCCTGCTTAGAGGAATTTCAGGATTTTAAGCTGGAAATTGGGTTAATTTCTCCAGGGATTGGAAAAGGGAGGGAGAAAAGGGTACAGGGAAAGTGGTGTCGGGAGAAGGCCAGAATCCCTCTCCTCCGTGAGGTGGTGGAGGAGTTTTACCCCGTCTGTGGGACCGACAGGCTGATCTCTTGGGACACTTCCCTTTTCCTGTGGTGGCAGCAGGAGGCACTTCTCCCAGGACAGATGGGAGATCCTCAGTTCCGTCTTCCTGCTTTGTGTGGGAGGGTTTACACCCTTTTCATGTGAAGGATATGCTAAACGGTTGTTAATGTTTTATTTCTTTTCTGCCTTATGTATAATTCTATCTCCTGCCTTTTTACTCCTACCTCCCCAGCCAGTACATCCCAGTCTCCGTGGCCGGATCTCCCCAAGTTTGTTTTTTTTTTAATATATCTTTATTGATGTCAGAGAGAGGAAGGGAGAGGGGGAGAGAGAGAGACATCCATGATGAGAGTCATTGATCGGCTGCCTCCTGCACGCCCCCGAGTGGGGATCCAGCCTGCAACCCGGGCATGAGCCCTGACCGGGAATCGAACCGCCATCTCCTGGATCCCAGGTCGATGCTCAGCTGCTGCGCCACGCCCGGCCAGGCTCTCCCCAAGTTTCTGACCTGGCAGCACGGGGTGCCCATGTGTGCGTGTCGGGCTCAGGCGCTGCCTGCCCTTGCTCTCCAGTCACCTTCCCTCGAGAATTTAGCTGTCTTCCCGCACCCCGCCCCAACCTCCCCCTGAACCCTGGGCTTTTTCATTGAGCTGCCTCGTGTCCCCCCGGCTATTGAACAGGCTTCTCAGACTGAGCATACCTAAACCAGCCCTTCAGTCACTCCTCTGCTGTCCCGGGGGCCCCTCTCGCAGGCTTTCCTGTGTTGGTAAATGGCACCTCATGCCTCCAGTTGCTCAGGCCAGAAACTTTGGAGTCTAACTGCCTGTCCACTGTTCACACCCTAGCTCAGTCAGTGGGAAAATCCTTTGGCTCCACCTTCGAAGTCTGTCCAGGATTCCAGCATGTCCCACTCCTCCGTCGCTGCCCCCTGCCCGCTCTGTGTGGACTCCCGCTGTCAAGTGAGGCAGCTGCCTTCGCAGTGCGGTCTGACTTCCCACGCACTGCTCCTCTGGCACCAGGAGAGCTGGGTGCTAGTGTGGTTCCCTGGGATCTCTGCTCCTCTCCTCTCCAGCACTTACAGTTTCTCCCAGAACTGTCACCTGTCTGTTTTTTTTCCCTTTTGGCTGAGGGCCAGAGGTGCGTGGGGTAGACTCTGCGGGGCAGCTCTGATCAAGTCCAACGGGCAGCCAGGAGACGTAGGCTCCTCGGGAGCCAAGAAGGCTGGACAGGCGCAGCGACCTGTTCCGTTTGGTTGTCAGGGTTCCAGATGGTTCTTTGTAATAGTCAGTTGCTATTAATAGCCTTTCCTCTTTTGTCTGTATTTGCTTGAAGTCTGTCTCCTTAAAATTCTGAATTGACTTTTCCAGAAGTTATTTGAGTCTGATTTCTCCCCCCTCAGTAGGGAAAAGAAGTTGTGACAAATTGCTTGGAACCTTAAGCTGAGTGGGGCTGATGGCTTCACACAGAACATCTGTTCCATTGCTGTTCTGTCTGCCAGTGAGGTGGCGATGTTTTTACGTTCTGGGGGTTCGGAGCATTTCAGTTAACACTCGCTCTGTGTGCTCCCCCCCTCCCCCCCCAGGCTTCCTGTAGACAAGTGGCAGGTTTGTGCTTTGCTTTATTCTGGACATTGAGTTTGATGTAATTTATTTCACTTTCTCCCATGAGAAGAAACTCCACAGGCAGAGCGTCAAATTACTTTGACAGGATATGAATTACTGTCCAATCCCAATTTCTTTGAAAAAGTTCAAGGTTTGCCCAATGCTGATTTTAGTCAGATGGTGATTTTTAGTTAAATGATGGAAGTAGGGGAGAATCTGCACTCAAGAGATTTGTCTTTTTTGTTTCATGGAACCTTTTTAGGAGATTATTGGGGACTCTGCTTACTTGGTTGTCATTGCTCAAGCTTTAAGTGACCTAAAGTTAATTGTTTAGCTAACTAATAGTTACTTCCCTTTTCCCTTATAGCTTTCACAAAATTGATCACAGTAAATGGACAAGAATATCATCTTCAACTTGTAGACACAGCTGGACAAGTAAGTATCTCTCCTCCTTGGCTCTCCTACGGTGCGTGTGACAGTCCCCGTCCTGGCACTGATGCTCCTCAGCAGCAAGGCCAGGGAGATCCCTCGTGACTTCTGTGTCATCAAATACAACAGGCCATCTGCTTGGTATTTTCTAAGTCACGGCAGTTTTTCAAAGAATCAGCTTGGTTTTCTACTTTAGAATAGTTTTAAATACATTCATAACATTGTGAGACTCATGTTTATTACAGGAGAGGGTTTTCTATCTTCTAAACTTTTTATATCAGACTCATGTTAGTTCATCTCCCTCTGTGGTGTGTGTTCCCAACATTAAAAACAGAAGTGAGTCTTTCTAGGGGAAAGGTATAAGAGGTACGGGGCAGACAAGCTGGTCACAGATCGATGATATGATTACTTAATCAAGGAGTGTCCATGTGATTTGCTGAACAGTAGGTAGTTGCCAAAGGTTAAGTCACAAAAAACTGATGTTCACAGGTTAATGTGGGGACTGAATTGCCCAGGGAACAGATTGGAAGCAAGGGTGAGAGAAATGAAGAGAACTTGAAGGGAACAAAGAAGCCCCTTTTTGTTGCTTAATTTCCCCCTTCCCAGGGCACCCGGTCCAGCTTCCAGAAACCATCCCGTAGGCTGAGGTTATTACAGTTCACTGCAGGGCGGGAGTGGGAAGGGCCTGCAATGCAGGTCTCTAACTCCTCACCTGGCATCTTAACCACGAAGGACCGGTTTG